ATAATAAATAAACATGAAAAATGAACTCAAAATACACACCGAGAGAGCTGGTCCCACCCACCATCCCCTGATCACCAAAAAGTTGTTGAAGTTTAAATCAAGAAAAGAAAATCAGTTTGTTTTACGATTATGGATTGATCTTGCTTGTGATCTGATCCAAAAGGGGGACCCCTCGACCCTCCCTCTCTGTCCATCTTGTGGGATTAGGCGAGTGCGGCGTGGGGTGAGCTGTGCACGTGCATGCTGTATAACTCTCTTTGATGTGACAGACTGCCCTGTTGAAGGTCTGCAGTTGTTTTATTTCGCGCCAAACTGTGGGTCTGGCGTTAACGCTTTCCATGAGACGAGGCTCACATCCAAATTAATTGTGGGCGTTACAAGGACAGTGAATTGAGTATCCGTCTGATCTGAGATTCGACGGGTTAATAAAATCTACTTTATTCTTTCCAGTACGCACAGAAATATGGTTTCTCTTTGTTGCTGTTTCCGTAACCTATTATGATTTTTACTAGTCTGGGTTGTTAGCCTTGAGCTGAACCTCCGAAATCTGGAGAAGATGAAGATGGGTTGGGCATGTTCTGAGAAGAGAACCAGACTCTATTGTAAAGACTGCCCTCCACTGGACACCCGAAGGACAGCTAAAATGCAGAACAGAATTAAAGTTTTAAAAGAGTACTTTGACAGTTGTAGCATTCTTAATTGTTTTTTGTCGTTGTTGTTGTTGTTGTTGTTGTTGTTGTTGTTGTTATGGGTTTTTTTATACCATTATTATCAATATGACTTGTAAGCTATTTAAATATTAAAACTTTAAGCATTCTTAATGCTTCCCTTCCCCTTTCTTCGTGATTGAATTTTTTTTTAAATCGTTGCCACGGTCACCATTACTGCTTAAAATACCCCCACAAGTGTGTGGCACCAATTTTAGATCTACATGAATAACTCATTATTTGATATAGAACCTGTATCGAGTTCATGCATGTGACAAACATTACCAAAAAGTAATAATATACATATAATGAGGGCACACTCGCTTACACTCAAGAATACACACTCAAATTTGAATCCAATCCTCAATGCCCCCCCCCCCCAAAAAAAAAAAAATGGATGATAAAATAAAGGTAAAAAATCTACATCCAAATATTTGGTTCTCAATACATACATTATTATACAAAGCTAAAGAAATGTGATAGCCATAGATCCTCCTTCCTCATAAGGAAACATCCGCATTGGCACTGCACAACCTGCAACTTCTTCAGACCGGCATGTGGTAGCACAGCACCTGCAAACTTATAGAAATACATGTACATCCATTTGTAGTTCTTCTTTTTCTTCTTCTTTTTGTTCTTGTTTTTGTTCTTGTTCTTGTTCTTCTTCTTCTTCTTCTTCTTCTTCTTCTTCTTCTTCTT